TCGCTCCCGCCCGCCTTTGGGCAGCAGTGCCCGGGCGCCCAGCTCAGGACGCGTCTCACCGCCGTTTCGCCTCGGCGGCGGCGACGTGGGGCGGCGGGCTGGTTTCCCCCGCAGCCGAGCAGCCGCTGTCCGCCTCAGGGCCGCTGAGCGGAGTATATAGGTCACTGGAAGTAATGCCTGCCTAATCCCCTTTATCTTTCTGGCTCGGCTTTTCCGCCGCTGGTTTGTAGGGCGACCCGGGCAGCGTTGGTCGCAAACTTCTGGGAGAGGACCCGGGCTTCGCGCAGGGCTTGAGCCGGGGAGCGGGCGAGTGGCGAGGTGAGAGCGTGGGATGTGCGCTTTTATGTCAAAGAAGGCTTTTTCCTCACAAGTGTGACGGTTTATGTCGTGCCAGGTATTTGTAGGTACATCTGTTAGCCGTGTGACCCTGTCCGTGGGTTGTCAGTTTGGGTTCTGGCTTCTGGTTTAACAGGCCAGTAACGTTGATTTGTTGGTGTTTTTTTTGGTTTTTTTTTTTGTTTGTTTTTTTTTTTCTTCAGTACTCTTATTGCATCACTCACCAAATCACTGAAGGCGATTTTGATGTTTTCTTGGGATGTCAAAGGAAAGTAGATGTCTCAGCAACTTCAGGGTCCTGGTAACTGCAGAAGGTGGTGTGGGCTGGTAAAGTGATTGCTGTGTTTCCCTCTGTGATCTTTGAGGCAGTGAGGAGCTATTAGCAAGGTCATGTGAACGTGTTCTGTCACCCAAGGTTATTGGTAGGAACTCGGCATGATTTTGAGTTACTCCGTGTGGACAAATCTGTAGATGCTGGCAGATACACAGTGTCTGTTAGGAGTTGTCTAGCGCCAGCCTGCCAGTATAGGACAGTTTGCTGGCTTGGGGCATGTGGCTTCTTTTAACTGAGAAGCGCTAAGGAATGCTTGGTACTATTTGGTGACTTAAGTTTCAGTCTGATTTCCTCCTCCTCCCTGGGGTGTGTGATTGGTTTTCCAATTAGCATTAACACATATCATATGATGATGATGATAAGAAGAAAAATGCCTAAAAATGAGTGTGCTGTTTTATATGCTGCCATACTACTTCTGGTTGAAAGCCAAAGACTTCAGAATCTGCAGGTGCTCTCTCTCTGCCTAGATGTTTTATGTTGAACAATGTGGAACTCTGATGCTGTGCAAGAGTTTATAGCTGCACTTTTCATCTGTACAACAGTGTTTTTATTCCTCTTTGAAGCTGTAAGAAGGATTCAGGGCCTCAACTCGTTAGTGGTAAAGCATGATGTTTTTATCTTGTTTCATTTTCAGAGAGAAGAGGGAGTGGTGAGAAACTATCCGTTCAAAGAGATCTCTCTCACACCAACATGATAATACACAGTATGCAGTACAGACCTATGTTTCTGGCCTGTGCTGTTTTTATATTGTAATTTCTAGAATTAAACCATTTAGAAGAAATGGTGATGGGAAGGGTTTATAATACCTGAAGAACTAAAGTCGGATTAGGGTTTTCACATTATTTGTGCTGCCTTACTTCTGCTGGCCTGTGTATAAAGAGTCCACCTGATCTGAAACTAATCTAAGAATTAGGACCTAATGCTGTAATTCGTTTCTTCCCCTCTGGCTCTACTTTAATGAACATGGAAGGTCAAAGAGAGACAGAAAAGACAGAATTTACAATCTACTTTGTAAAGTATAAATAATTGCAAAGGGAGAGATTGTACTAGTGAGATACTGGTCTGAGGATGGCAGTTGTGAAGCTGATGGAACATCCAGATGCCTTTTTCTGTTACCCATCTCAATCAAGATAAATGTGTTTGGTTGATCTCTGCTAACAGCTATTTTAATCTATTTATTGATCCATGGTGATTGACGATTTGTGCTTTGAAAAATAATTGAATTCTATTAAAATGATGAAAAATGTGTTGACAAAGCCCACGGAAGAAACATAACTTCAGTTACATCTTCTGTGGTGTTTTTTTTGTTTGTTTTTTCTTTTTTTAAAAAAAACTTTACTGTCTCCATGTTGTGTCTAAACTATATGCTGGTGATGGTAAAAACTGGATTATCGTCTGTGAGGGTTATTTTGGTTTATTTGTTTTTTTTCCCCTAAATGAGACACAAAACTCCATAGAATCCAAAACTAAGAGAACCAAGATTGGAGAAAGTGCTGCTGGTTTGGTTTTACTTGATCCTGGCATGAAACTGAATTTTAGAAAACTATAGATATATTTTCTTTTCAAAAGATTATACTAATGCATTGATGCCTGATAAGCTTTAGTCTTCAGATTTACATACTCTGAGTACCATCTGAAGCATCAGTTTCTGCTAAACTCTTCACTGAAGGGCTATCAAGATTACTTTGATGTACATCAAGCTTTAAGGTTTTTTGAAACTTATTCACAAATGCCTCTCTTCCACTCTTGCATATATTTATTTATTAGTATACAAATGCTGCTTTTTGATGCTTGCAGGTTTCATTGCAAGGGCTTTTCACATTTTAATTGGGCTTATGGAAATCTTGTTTAGTTTCTTAATGTTTGAGTTGCATACTTAAGTTTTAAAAAATGTAGGTCTCCACCTTTTGGTATAATGTTATTATGACTAGTAGTTTCTCTCAAATATTTGAGGGAGATGTTCTCTCTCACTGTGCTCTACAGCACATCCAGAGTAGTTGGTATGTTAGTGGTGTTTGTTATGTGCTGCTGAGAACAGGGCTTTTGTGACCTCTTGTTCCGGTCATCCTTTTCTGTAACAGTTTTATAACTGTATTTTGGTTTACAGACCCATAAACTCTAAGACTCTTGTACTCAAACATGCTGACTTGACATTGTTAGCTTGCTTGTGGTCTCTTCTCGGTCTAATCAGGCAGTTATTTAGTGTAAGACTGACCTACAACCCAGGAAAAATCGTATGTGCTATCACCATTGGAGGAAGTCCCCGGGAAAGAGGGCATCAAGTAAGGCTGTTGGCAAAATAGTGCTTTTTTTGTTCTGCTTTTGGGTGTGTTTCAGGTAATGTATTACACAACAGTGGATGTCTATACTTTAGATATGTTACGGATGCACTTTTCATGCTCTGATAGTGTTGAGTCAAGACAGGCAACCTCAGGGTGCTTCTAGAAGAGGCTACAAAGGCCTGCACAGCTCAGAAGCTGGGGGACTAGTGAACTGGAAGCTCTGATTTTATTTTTTTTTTAGTCCTTTTTGCAGTACAGCAGAGTGGCCAAATGAAGGCTTGTAAGTAGCTGCTGGTATGGCTGTTCTGTAAGAATTGCATGCAGACTCCAAGAAACGATGCCTCTTCCTGATGGGATTAATCCATTTGAAAAGTAGATTTAGGAATTCACTGTGTCATGGGGAGCAGGTCAGTTAGATGTGGGTCAGGTCTGAAGACTGACTGGGCTGAATTGAAAGAACAGTTTTGAATGCACTTGCGAACGCTTATAGCTATAAATGGTTCTGACATAATTACTCCTGTGTAATATATATACACACACCGGTACATTTTAAAGTCTTAAGTTTGGAGATGCTGTGATGGTAGCAAAGCATTTATAGCTAAAGTTAGTGTTACAAAGAATGAGGAGCTTTTGGGAATGTGTCTTGTCTTACTTTCTGTCTTAGGCTTTGATTACAAGACTTCCTATTATAATATATAGGTATCTTTCAGTAAATGACTCTGGTATGATAAGAATGCTTCCCTTTTTAAACCATGTGGCCAAAAAGTTCTTGTCAAAGGTGATCCTAAATGGCATGTCCAGGTGAGGCAATTCTGTGTGGCATGGAAGCACAGCAAGTAAAGTAAGAGCAGGTGACAGTGGTCGTAGAAGCTCAAGGTATTTGAAGACATGATCTAGGAACGTGTTACTTGTGATATCTAGTGGGATTACCTTCAATTAAGAGAGAAAACTTTGGAAACATGATACAAATATAGCTATCTGCATGCAGGAGTCCTGAAACCTTAGCTTCATATATACATGTAGTATTTTTCCTCCAAATTCAACTGCCACCTGAAAAGGAGGAATGAGATCCTGAGTTAGTTTGTGTAAGATGTACACAACTCTTCATAAGGCTTCAACTCATGCTCTCTCTGAACTAATTGAAGCACATTTTCATAGCAGTTTCAGAATTTTTCCTGAAATTTATTCTGTTTCAAACTGTGGTGGTTTCCCATGGGTAATAAGTTATTGGGAAATCAATGACTTTTTTCATCTTAAAAAGAAAAAAAAAAAAAAAAAAAAGGAAAAAAAAGGTTAAATTGTGAGGTAATACTGAATTGCCTATCTGCACAGTGACAATAGACCATGACAGTTAATTCTGGTTTAACCATAATTAGCACTGCAGAAGGCATGTTATCTGCTTCTCTGTGGTGAAATACATAGCTAGATTAGTGCTAAAAGTATTAGGCAAATTCTTATTATGTAACTTTTGCCGTTTAACTGTAGAAGTGTAGTCAAATGTCATCTTCTCCCCTTGTACCTCTACTGTAGTCTCCAAACAGTACGACAGACACAATTTTTTCTATTTAAGCAGTTGCGTGCCTTAGAAGAACTTGTCTTTTTTTTTTTTTTTGGGGGGGGGAGTGGGGTGGTGGAGTTGTTGGTTTTTTGTTGTTGTTGTTGTTGTTGTTGTTGTTTTTTTAAATTATTGTGTGATAATAAAAACTTTCTAGGTTCTTTGCATAAATAACTATTGCTAAAAGACACTTGTGCTTTTTGTCCTTCTAGTTCATTTTTTACAAACTGTTTGTATGTTATGTTGGTGGAGGGTAGGATTTATTTCTGTGAAAACTTTTATATAAATAGGCCTAAGGTGGTAACTATTCCAGTAGCAGTTTAGTTTGCCTGGGGAAGTGCTAAAGTGATGCTAGTGAAAGAGCTCACAGCTAGAAGGATTTCCTAATGTATGTAAAAAAAAAAAAACCAAAAAAAAAAACCAAAAAACCAAAACCAAAACAAACAAAAACCAAAAACCAACCAAAACCCTTTAAGCTATTGATAAGACCTATATGCCATTACACTTTTGAATTGTAACTTGAGTTTAACTGTTGGCTGTTTCTGTTGCACTGTGCTGATGGTTGAAGAGTTGAACCACTGAAAAAATCAATCCTGCTTGCATTCACAAAATCTTTTTTAAAACCTCAGGTACCCCTGAGCAGTAGAGAAGAGAATTTTGTATTTTGGAGTTAGTCTTATTAACATCTAACAGTTCATATATTTGTACTAACTAAACATTTTTCAGATGTTTTTCTGACACACCAGCCAGAGCAACAAATGAAAAATTGCTGTTGTGCAGCCAGCTCCAAAAAGTAGTGTGGGTTTTTACTAAATTATCTTAACTCTTTTTGATGTGGCAGGCTCCTGCCCTGATGCAACAAACCTGCGAGGGAGAGGTAATTTGGCTTGCTGCTTCACTGGCATTACACTAAGATTACTGTTTCTGTAAGCATGGATCTTGAACATATAAGGGAAGAAGGGAGCCTGTGTAGAGAGGTGTTACTTTTATAATTACAAGTTGAAGTTGAAACATCTGTGACTTGTTACACTAGACCCATGTGCTTTATTAAACATAGCTATTCTGTTTCCTTCTTGCACATTTCTGACACTTTAAAAAACTTTGTCAGTACAATAAATGTGTTTTAGAACAGTGTCATACATTCAGTATTCCTGTAAGAAGACCTATGGGGGACAAAAAACTTATCTCACTTTTTGAGCAACTCCGTTGATTTTCAGTGCTGGACTTTGCAGGAAGTATATGCTCCCAATCACAGTGAGATGTGGATTATTTCAGAGGTGAGGGCTGTGTTCCTCTCTGAATGTGATTTATAATTATGCTGGATTCTCTCTCCTGTGAGCCTGACCATTGTACAGCGATGATAGGTGCTAAACAGCCAAAGATTTTTCTGCAAACCATTAATGCCTTCATAAAAGGTGTGTTGCTCCTTGTTTTGTTCTGATGTTACTGAATCACCCATCTGTCTTTGGAATGCCTGTGGTGTGGACTGGGAATATCAGTCATACTGGGATTTGCAATTCTGAGTTTCAAAGATTCAGCTAGTCTGTTACTTTGAGGTGGTCTTTTTTTTTTTTTTTTTTTTTTTTTTTTTTTTTTTTTCCTGACTGGCCATTTGTCATTCAGTACAGGGAATCACAGAACACATAGTCAGCAATAGGTGTAACAGGATAATTTCCTTTCTGAATTACTGACTTGCATTAAGATTAATTATGATTGCCTGCTTGGAGTGGTTTCAGGTAAACAATTAGAAAGTTTTTTATCAGCTCCTTGAAACAGGATAAGGAGCATGTGAAATGGAAGTACATTTTCTTAAAAGCGGATTAAAAAAAAGGAATAAACATGGAGAGCAGAAACTGATTTGCCCTCACAACAATTTCTGTTATTAATGGTTTGGTCTCAGCAATGTGAACAACACTGAGAGACCAGCGTGAACTGGCTGCCACATAACACAGAGGTTTTATGGATGTCAGTGGTTACATCTGCCTTCAGCAGTATTTTGCTGGCATGATCTTTGCCATCAACAGCCCAGTGCTTAGGGTTCTTGACTTGCTAGTGTTGATACAGCAGAATACACAGTAGTGTTGAGATGGTTTTGCAGAGTTTCCTTGGGCTAGATAGAGCTGGGTTTGTTTTGCTTGGATGCCAGTGAGTCCTTGGTCTTGGAAAACTTTTTTCACAAGAACCTTTATTGCTGGAAAAAAGAAAAAAAAAAATATATATATATATTCGGAGAGAAACAACTAAGGCAGTTTAGCAAACGCTGCATTTATGATACATGCTATTTACAAGTTATATCTTTTGTTAATAGTGCTGTTTTTAGCAAGTTGTTAGTAAAATGGGTAAATCAGAAATAGTAAATTGCATCCACCACCCAACATTAATGATGTAGGGACAGAGGTCAAAGGAAGTGATAATGCTTTTTGTTAGCTCAACTTCTGTAGCTGAGGGAAGAGAGGAATTTCTGGGCACAGAGACCTTAGTCCTGCTGACATTCAAGTCAGCTTGGTTACAATGATTGAATTATTTGACTTTTGGTTTATATAGAAGCTGAACACTTTTCCAGGTATTTAATGTTTCTTTTAGTCTTTGTCTTTGCCTATAAGGAAAAAAAAAGACGTTAGCAGGGTTTGTGGCTTGTATTTGCATGAACTTTTCACATTAGCCTTCAGTGAAATTCAACAGCATTTGAAATACTTGTCTGCAGACGTATTTTAAAAAGTTAAATGAATTAAAGATGAATGAAATGTTATCTGATTCTTCCTCTTGACAATTTAAAATTCTAAATTGATAGTAATGCCTCCTATTTCCTGGATGTTATATTAGTTTAGGTAATTATAAACTATGCATAGCTTAAATTCAGTACTTGCTGTGCATTGTATTGTTACCATAGCAGGTATATGTGCAGTGATTCAGTAGGTGAAAAGTTACTGTTTGATTTTAAAGTAGCAACAAGTGTGGGGAATAAAATTTTGTTGTATTTGCAGCAAGGCATATTCTATTACTAGTTGTAATATTCATACAGAGTTTTGGCAAACATTAAAAGTAACAACAGTTAAGGTTTAAAAGAGGTATCAACAGCAACATTTCAGGAGCACTCAGCCTTGGGATCAGTGACAGACGGGAGATAATATGATCTAAGCGGTTATCATTTGTACATTCAGATATTCCAAGATAAAAATATAATTTATCCAAGTACAGGAATATTGGATTCTGCGACATAAGGGAGTTGAAAAAGCAGTTGATGGCAGAATAAATACACTTCCCTATTCTAAACAATTCTACTAAGAGTTTGTGTGAATAAAAAGGAAAAGAATATTGTTACTGTCTTGGTAGAGGAGACTGAAGGCTGCCAAACCAGGGAGATTTTCTGGATGAAGATGTTTGTGGACACCAAGCAGAAATCATCCAGATCACAGGATTTTAATTACCTAGGAGTGTTGGTTAGAGAGTATGGTGGAATGCAGGTTCCTATGAAGTTCCTGGAGGACCTTGGTAAAGCTTTCTGTGTGCTAAATATGAAGAAAGAAACCACAGGATATGCTCTTCCAAGCTTTGTTTACAACCAGAATATAAGTAACATGTGCGAAAGTAATCAAATGAGAGTCAATGTAGGAGGACTTGTTGTGAAATAAAACAATGGATTTTTAGAAAGGCAAACTTCAGGTAAGTCTGGTTAACATGAATCTTATCCACTAGTGTTGTGTGTTAAGAGAAAAAAAAAAAAAAAAAAAGGAGATTGTTCCTTCCAGAAATTACGTTATTGACAGAAATTGAAACTATTCTTCCACGAAGGAAAATATGAAAAGTAGTGAGAGGCTGGCTTGTCTACTAGTGAGCACTTTAACAACAAATATAACAAGGAGGGAAAGGCAACCCAGGCTGGATTGCCAAGGACAAGTATAAAAATAAAGCACAAGCACATATAATTAAAATGCAACATTCAGAATGGCCAACTCAAAAAGAGTAAAAAGAAATCATTATAGAAATATAATGTTAGTAAAAAGAAAGACGGGGAAGGTTTGCTGCTGTTTGAAGAGTGGAGCTGTGGACAGATAATGGAAATCAGACTGAGGTGTGGGGTTTGTGGGTGTCTTTTTTTTTCACTTCATCTGTAGTTAGACTGGGACTTGGAGGTGAGCATGGTGTTCAAGGCAAGTGCTAAAATGCTAAACTGATGTGAGGAAGGAATAAGTTATAGAGCATTTAGATAGTTTAAATTTGAAGTATTTTAAAAATGCTATTGAAAGGGTAAGAGCTGGCTGATGTAATCCCTGAGCTGCTGCAGTTACTTAATTCATGGAGGATGCATGTAATACTGTGACACTGAGAAGAGCGATTATAGTGTCTGCCTTTATGGGTGTTGGGGGGAAGTGGAAATGAGAAGTTGTAGAGCCACTTGTTTAACTTTGATTATTTGTTCCAGTATTTTTCCTGGGAATTAAACCCCCCTAAAGCAGTAGATGATTACAAAGAAATGAGCAGTAGCCCATATGATTTTATTTTTAAGATTAAACCATGTTAGACTAATGCAATTTCTCTCTCCAAAAAACTAACAGGAGAGGAGTGGTTGATCTCTGAAAGCCTGACTCTTTATCGTGGAAAATGTCACAACTGTGGTTAAAGAATGTCTGGATGAACTGTGTGGGTAAGTGCTAAACCGCTTGAAAATGATTGTTTTCTCTAGGAATGGACTCATGAGATAGTGTTTTGGCTTTTGGGTGGGTTTTTTTGTTTTGTTTTATATATATATGAAGGATTTACGTATTATCATGGATGACAAGAATAATGAGTCAACATTGTTATGTAAGTTTAAAATTAGAGAATATCATACCAAGATATTGTCACAGAATTACTGAATTCTGCCCTTAGAAAAGGTTTGTTTTTTTTTTTTAATAGGGCTGGTTCTCAGGTTGGGGCTGAGATTTGCATAGCAAAAGTATGAGCCTCACAGCCCAGTTCCTTACTTCAAACACAGTGAATCTTCTTTAAAGTAATTACTGCCTCCTGGTTGACTGGAGTAATTGGAGAAGGCCAGAAGGACCAAATGCTTCTCCCTGAGGCTTTCTTCAGTAAAGCTTTAGGACCCTTCTAATTCTTACTGTGATGTCCTGTGCCTGCATCACATAAGTGAGAACAGAAGTGTATTTTGCAAGTTAAATGAAGTAATCTTGCTAGCCAGTGTTGAGGTAGTATCCAGTTTTGAATACAGAATTTATTTAAAAAAAAAAAAAGAAAAAAAGCAGGTGATAATAACCCATTGCAAGGAGTCTGGAGAGGAGCTGTAAGAATACCCAGCTATCTGAAGGAATGACTGAATGAACAAGGAGCTGTTGTTATAGCTTCAAAGAAGGGAAAGAGGTAGTGGAGAAATGAGAGTGAGGGTTAGTCTAAGTATGTGGAATATACACTTTTCTCACAATGATCTGTTTTCTTCCTTTGGTTGGTAAGACACTGTTGCATTGGAATATGTTATCACAGGAAAAGTTTTGAATAATTTAAGAGTGGGTGATGCAAGCATCTGGGAATTGTGACAGAAACATAATGGGTATTACCATGGCACAGGGGGAAGGACTGAATGACTTTGAGGTGATTTTTGATCCTTTGACTGGTAAATAGATGGTTGCTGTGGTGCAGCACAATCTGTACAATCCAGGGAGAGCGCAGTACTGAGAATTACTTTTCTCCCTACCTCTACTCTTATGTCTCATCTGGTGAGGAGGATTACTAAAACATTAAAACATTATGCCTCTCTTTTTTTTTTTCTTTTCACCTGATGGAGTAGATAAGTGAGATGTAGAACTTCACATTGCTGTGGCTGTTGAAAAGTAGCTAGAACTCCCTGTTTTGAAACAACATAAAAGAAGGACTGTGGGCATGCCTATACCCACACTGGCTCTGCAGAAGCAGATCCTAGAACAGGGAGTGCTAGGAAATGTGGTGTTAAGATGCCTACATTAGCTTCAAAAGCAGTTTTGTCATATTTGTACGGTATTGAATCCAAGCCACTGTGGTTTTACTGCTTCCAGACCTGTGCTAATGTCTGCTGTCTGCCATGCAGACTTAATCAGCTTGGGTTAGTGACAATTTGGCAAACTCTTCTGTGTAATCCACTGTATGTTGTAAACAACCTTCTATTGTGCTGCTCTTGAAGCTCATGTTTATTTGGGTGCACTAACTCTTTTTTTGTTAATTAATTGTACAGTAACGGCACAAAACAGAGATGCCTCTTCACGGTGTGAGATTTCTTGTCTGAATGATGGAGATAACAGTGACATTAAACAAAGGTTTTAATTTCAATTGGATGCTATTGTACACAGCTGTGAAGAAGAACAAAGATCTGAGGAAGTCCTGCAGTGTCAACTGATCTTTAAATCAAAAGCAAATAGGCACAATTTTATGTAAAATTAACAGGTTAGGAGACTTTTTTAACTCACAGGGGGAAGTTTCCCAGGATGTATCACTTCTATGATGTATTCTTTCTCTTAATTACCACATGCATGTATGAAATGGAGCTAATTTTTAACCTACCTTCCTTTTAATATTTTAAAGTCCATCTGCTGTTGTTGTGAGATTTTTGAATGGCATGTATTGCTACTGGGAGTGTTTGTATTGATTCATAAATCTGTGGACTATGGTTTCTGGGGTTATTTTCTTGGGCTTTCATATGAAGGGGAAAGATAAGGAAAGCAATTTAAATTTCCCAAACCACAAGGCTATGCATCTTTCATAGTATCTAGCCTGGGTAGTGGTATAGGTTATGATACATTGGATGCGATACAGTCTCTAAGGACAACTTTCATCTCAAATAAAGTGCAGTATAATCCTGAGCTCAAAATTAATTGTGTAGAAGAGGATGGCTAGTTCTTGGCTACTCACTTACAAATCCTTGAAAAGGCTTTTGCCGTTCTGAGGATGTCCTGTAACCTGCCTATTAAATGAAGGTTTGACAGGCTGCTCTGCTGTGGGTTGAAGAAACATTGGGAACTGCCTTCTGTAATGATGTTGATATCAAAATATAAAATAGAGCATCTTAATTCATGAAGGTTACTACTGTGCATTGACTATCATTATGTTCTAAAACTTTTAGATGTATTTATCACACCCATTTTAGGACAGAATTTCAGGCTATCCAAGCAATGTAAGCTTATATATCTATATATCTCATGAATATCAGAAAAAAAAAATATTTTCTTTTTTTGTCTGGTTCCAATTTTTTTGAGTTGTTCCTCTACCATGTCATCATATTCCTCATTGGTCTCAGTTTTCAGAAATGAGAGAGCAGAAACTTTTTGTGTTCTATCCCTCCCTCTGCCCCTCTTCCCCCAACACTACCCCACCCCCATTTAGGATACGGAATGCAGATGTGTATTATTTTTTTACCTGGTGTGTGGTATTGCTTGCTTGCTTTTACAAAGCTATGTGTTTGATTCAAAAGCAAAGTTCTTACTCTTCCAAAAATACATTACATAAGGCAAGACTGTGCTTGGCAATAATAGTTTATCAGTCTCTAGAAAGTGATCCAAGTATCAGTACTCTCTGGAGATGAGGATGTATTATTTTCTATGTGGCAGTACTGAATTTTGTCTAGAGGTGAATGAGAGCTGGTGACAACTACATGCTGGCAACACTGTGTGATTAATATGACTCTCCTGGGCCACAAGTACAAGAAGCTCTCTGTTTAATTCTAACTGTGATTCTTCAATTAAATTATAGCTTTTTAAATGAAAAGAAGAAAAGCTGATTGGAAATTGGAATTTCTTTAGATTATTCAAATTGTTGTGATTTTGTATGCTAGACTGAGTCTTCTTTTGCCCTCTAACCTAAGGTATACAGTGGGGGTTTTTTTGTTTGTTTCATTTGTTTTTTAAATGAGTTGGCAAGCTAAAGGCACTTAGATTCTGGAAAGTTACCATAGCTTGATGTTAAGGTTCAGATCCAGATTTTTTTAAAGTATGTGTGATCAGAAAACCTTTCTATGTTCTGAATACCTTTTCTTTAAAACCTGCACGTTAACTGCATAGCATAGAGAAACGATGCTTTTGTAGAGTACGAAAGAACAGACCTTTGTGAGTTTTTTTTTATTGCTTCAGTAGTTGTAATAAAGATTCACTGACTCAGTCTTGCAGTACTCTGAAGCTGAAACACTGAATATGTTAGGATAATACAGCACCACTCTTAAATATGTGTAATACTTTATTAAGCATATAAAGGAAAATATGTGCTAGCCAGTTCAGAAATGGGATTGTTCTTCATACAACTTGGTTCTTCATTGGCTATGGGTTTCAGTCTCTTGCAATGATTTTCAGTTTCAGGCTTGTGATGCTAGATAAGAAATGTTCTTCAGGTTGGAGCATTCTGGAATCTTTAAAACAAATGTGCTAAGATGCCAGTTCCCCACCCACCCCCACTGAATTCTGATCACTTGAGGCCCCTCCATGGGTGCTTCTTGAATACTCCTTTCCCACATCTGCTGGAAGCAATGATTTCTAGAGAGGCTTGGGGTTACCTTCTGTGCTAGACTTCTGACTATGGGCAGGGGCTATTTATTCCACCCCCCACATCCCCCTCACCCCTTCTTTTCTGTTCCCTGTGATGAACTATTGCATATGTTGCGAAAAAGAAAGAAAAATGCTGGGTTGATCAGCTTGTAAACCTCAGCCATGAGGACTTCATTTAGACTATACCTTTTTGATTATGTGTATGACAGTAGTTTTTAAGATACGTTGCAAATTAAAGAAGATAAATCCAAGGGAGAAAATAATTATTTGAGCTAAAAGACAGCTTGGTCAAGAACACAATTATAGGCTCCACTTATAAACTTACGAAGATAAGTGATACAGCAAAACAAAACCAGAAAGACTGTATTTAACAAATCAAACTTATAATCTTATTTCTATGACCAGACATAATGGATGTATGAAGCAGACAGGAGGGGAGTTAGTGTTAATTACTAATTATGGAAAAACCTCTTTCCTTTAGAGCCCCCACTCAGAATTATTTTGACTAATAAGAAAATATATTAAACATATCATGGTTCAGTGTGCTAGCATTTTGTGAACCATATTTTACTATTTCAGTGATGCTACACACATCCTCAGGTTGTGGAAGCCAGCTAGTAGTAACAAAGGCCATATGGAATATCAGCAGATAAAAGCATGCGGAGAAGTTGAGTCTCTTAAGAATTTCTATTTCTAGTGAGCTATGCAAAGTAATACCTTTCTGAACTGGGGTCAAAGAAAAAAAAAACAACAAACTTTTTTCCTCATGTAGAATTTAGAAATAAAATCCACACATACTCTTTAAAGGGTACTTTAACAACACCCCCCCCAACCCTTACCTGATAATATTTTCTGGATTAATCTAGTTCCATGTTGGTGTTAGGTATATATTTTGTTTTCTGTTTTTTAGAGGCACAGGCTGGAGTAGGATTATGTTAAAGGCAATGGCCGGAAGTGTTTTAAAAATGATCTGGAGGATAGAGAGATTCACTCTGGTATCATTTCACATGAGAAAATGACTGGTTTTTAGGACTACCTCTTTGTTTTAATAGAGGGGAAAAATGACGCTAAAAGACAGTTACAAGATTTCATCTCTGTGGAGGGACCTGATACAATCATTCCTAAAGTTCAGGAGCTTAAACTGGCAAGGGGTCTCTTGGATCATCTAGTCTAGCCTGTACTGAAACCATGTTGTATGTGTGATCTGTAAACCAATAGTATCTTCCCATAAGCTCTTAATTTTGGGGCGTTTTTGTTCATACTACTTTGATGGGAAACCTGTTTAAGAATTTGGTTTAAACTATGACTTCTTGGCCAAAAATTATGTTTATGCAAAATAACTATTTTCTCCCTTTTTAACTTTTTCATGATTCCTTTTCCTATTGAAAACTGGTTTAGAATTTTACTTCCTTGCTTATAAAACAGAAAATCTGACAGCCTCTCTATTTTGAATTCACTTGTGCAGTCTGGAGGAATTTCTGCCAGACAGGTTAGCAGGATGTCTGTAAAATCAATTTTGAATGCTAAGCACTGTATAAATGAATAGACACCCTTTTCATACTTGCATTTTTTTGTATGTGTGCGGCCTTGTTACATGGCAAATATAAATTTATTATAAATGACTCTGGTGTTGAAGGAAAGGTGTGGATTTCTCCTTTAACTTTGCATTTAGCCTGTTTAACAAGATGATGCATTTCCTGTCTGCAAAGTATGTTCTGACATCAGCTTTCTGGCAGCGTAGCCAGCTTTAGTATTCAGTGTCACACCACTCTTTTCTGCTTTTGCATTTTATTACTTTTTTTTTTTTCCCCCCAGTGGTTACTTTTTAGCCAGAACAGTTTCTTAATTTTCCCAAACATACTTGGTGTGTGGTGCACAAGTGTTTTTGAGGTGCAGCATGGATGCAAATGTTTTTGTGTCATAGCAGTGAACAGAAGGCAGCAAGGAAGGAAAATGTGTATTGCTTCTACAGTGGTGTGAGCTCGTAGCTGATGATGGCCTTGCTGTTTTCAAGGGTTTTTCACAAAGGTAGTGGTGAAAGGCCTGAAAGCACCGATCTTGTCTGTGTGGACCTGACATGCTGTGGAATACATTACTGCTTCTCTAGTTTACTTGAGATTTTATCATAATCTCTTTAAGTTTGGTTTTCTTTCCCCCAGTTATTAAGCTGCCAAATTTCATTCAAGTATTGGGCAGTTACTTTTTATTAATAGAGAATGAAAATTTTTCTTTCCTCCTTTCTCTGTCTTTCCTTGTCTGTAGTGGAAAGCTGAATGCTGCTGAAACGTGTCAGCTGAAGAAAATTTAGATCTAGATTGTCCACCAAATGGAACAGCTGCCAGACCAAGTTTTTCCTTGCTGACCTGTTGACATGCTTTAACTACAGGTAAAGTAAGAGCGTGTGTGTGTGTGTGTGTGTGTGTGTGTGTAATAAGTAATTCATAATACAAGTCTGTTGAACCATGAGCTCTCTATTTGGAATGCTGAGTTTCATGATTGGTTATTACTGTATGGACAACTGTCCGCTAAAAAGTGGGTTTAAGATTTCAGACTTATTTAAAATGTCAATTAGAGGCTCTGTAGCACTGAGCTGTGTTTAGATAACGTGGGCTCTGGAGCATCCTTTCAATGTTTGGTGTTTCAGTTCTCTCTGTTCACATATACAGTATACTCCACAGAAGATGACAGATGCATAATATTCCTGTGGCAACCACAGTAATTGCTTACATATGAACTGAATATATGGCAATTATCAAATGAACTTTAGATGTCCTGTAACTTCTGGAGAACAATACTATGTGACCTACATACCCTATAAGTCAGTGATAGATTACCAGTGGCACACCGATGAGGACCCCAACAGACTGTACACCAGGATTTTCCTGAGTTGGCAAGACTCCTCTTTATTTGTTTCAGAATATCTACATGTTGTTTAGAGTATGGGATGTGAAATAGTTGAAAAGCCTGTCGTATGAAGAATGTACATTTTTGTTTTTTCCTCTAACTCTTAACTGTAGGATACAGAAAGAGGTGAAGGAGGAAAGACTCATCTTCCCTATCTGTACTTAAAAAATGAGCACAGAAACTAGAAATCCTTTTTTAGTACTTTTAGCTCCTAGACTTTGGTTTGTCATTGGATCATCTTACCTCATCTTACTCTGCAGTGAAACCAGTCAGCTGACAGATGAAAATTCAGATAAATCTCTTCCCTGACCTGATCTACAAGCATGAGTATCATTTGGTTCTTGATGCAATGTCATATGTGTGCCTTTTTTTTTTATTAGATAAACTGTTCTACAAGGTGAAAAGGACTGAACACTTATGAGTTGCCTTCCCAAGAGAAGCTTATTCTCAGGTTGCAAAAGAAGCTGATGAAAGAGCATAAAGGGGGGGTGTGGTCTTCATAGCTTGAATGTTTCATAGAAGAGTTGGCATCATTTGGGGAGGAGATGTGGATGTTAATTGCAAGATTGACATAAGGAAGTTGTGTGCATAAGAGAAGTCCAAGCTAGCTAGTAGGAGGGAGCCTGGTGTGTGGGTGTGAAGTGAGACTGGGATTAGTTCAGACAGGCTTGAAATCTGACAGTATGTTTGGTTTCCAGAGTTGTGTTGGTTACATCACGTAGGCCATTCATACCAGTCAAATACCATTAAAAAGGGGAACAAATATGAAATGATTAAAATAATTGCTAGTTCCTGTTTTTTTTATATACGCAGGTTTTCTTTGAAACTGATTAGAAAAAATACAAATAGCTGGTTGATGTTAACTAAATATTAGCTATCTGGTACACTCTTGCACCTTGTTTGTTATTTTAAAAACTCCAAACACTTGCTTTATGAATATTAACACCATCATTCAGCAGCATTTCATGTAGCATGTGTCTGGTCTTAACCCCTCCTGTAATGCTACATATTCATTCTTCTGCCCCTTTCTTGATGCAGTCTGTTGCAGTTCTTGATGCTGGCCTGTGAATGGGAGACTTCTGTTTTGTTGAGTTGGAAGTGAAGATATTCCCATACTAACCTGTGCTGCTCTGTAATGGTTAGGGAGGTGTCAGGTTTCTCTATAATATTTTGTACAAGTTCCCAAAGTACCACATCAAAGTATCTTTAGGAAACTGAGGGGCTGGAGATACACTGATTTTTGACAAGTTAAGTATTTAATATGTTGTTGTTTCTACTGTCTGAAGGAATTAATTGACAGCTCTGACAGTGTTGTAAACCTGTTTTATTAAATGCAAATTATTAAAATACTTCTGAATGTCAAGCCTTGTCTAGAAGCTCAGCTAGCAAGGTGTTTGTCCAGAAGAACTACCAGTTCCTGAGACAGATGGCACTATATCCAAGATTGAATGAGTATCAGCTTTTGCATGTACTGAGCTACAGGTAATCCATGGTTCTGTGCCTGGGTGGAACCAGCTTTGATTGCCAAAGTGGTTATTTCTCAATCAGCTGCTGTAGGTAAGAGTTGTTCTTCAGATGGTTTGTAGTGTTAGCGTTTAATATCTTATGCAATAAAGGCAAGTCTATTTCTTTCTCCTGATAGAAAACAAGGAACAACTGTTAGTTTAAACTACAGTCTCATTCTGTAACTTTGTTGTACAGCTTTCAGTTAGTTGTTTCTTCTGTCCCTGACTTAGAATCTAGTTATGCTAATGGAAAAGTAATACAGTCATCGGTGGTGGGAAGTGGCATGAACTAACACAGTGATGTGAAGTCTTTCTCTAGTTCCCACTAGTTCCTATTCCATGTTAGTTCAAGTCATCAATTATAATAGTATGTTTGAGTTCCCCTTGGTTTAGCTAACAATAGTAATGGAAAAGAACGCCAAATTTCTTAACATAAGGGCTTGAGTATCTAGTTAAAGTTTATTAAGTTTATCTGTGATTAAGGCTTTAATACCAGTTGGGGCTAAAGCTGATAAAAAAAATTTATCAGAAAGTATTAATGCATTTGAAATAAGTATGTTCCCATGTATTTTTGTTTTCAGTTAAACTTTTCTAAGGAAAGCTTTCCTAGAATCAGGTTGGAATTTCAGAATAACAAAAAGACACAAAATGGAAAAATGCGCTTTTGTTAAGTTCTTTAGTTTGTAATGCAGTATCTTTTGATCATGATTCCTTTCAGTTGTATTCTTCCTAGGTTTGTTTTAGTTTTGTTTGGTTTGGTTTGGTTTTTTGGTGTTTGCTTTTTTTTTTTTTTTTTTTTTGTTTTTTTTTTTTTCCTGATGGAAGGTTTGTAGGGTTTTGAGTTTATTCTGTGTGGGGTTTTTTTTTTGGTTTTTTTTTTTTATAAAAAGGTAAAAATTGTGAAGACTCAGACTTGTGGGGAGAGAAAAGTCTTTCAGCAGTGAGTTTGATCTTAGGAACAACCCAGTAAATACTTTCTTACTATCAGTTATCTGAAATGAATATTATAGAGGAAGATCCCATTCTATTGATGTAGGTAGTGTTTAAACTGCCTTGAGCTTCACAAAATGTTAGTATTAATAATAGAATAGGATTGAAAGGCTAAAATCTAAGCTCTATTATATTCTAAGCTCTGTTGTATTCTAAGCTCTGTTATATTCTAAAATCTAAACTGTTTCCAGTAGAAAATGTTTTAGATTTTACTCTTTCATAGGATTTCTTGGGCCATTTGCAGGCTACTTGGCATGGCCTTCTTTAGGAGACAGTGATGTTCTATAAATAATTTAAATAGTTCTTAGTTCTAATCTTTCATTACTGTATACTAACATACAAATTTGCTCTTACTATGATGCTGAGGGAGAGGTCCATAAAGGACACAGATGTCTGGCAGTTTGGAGAAGTATAAAGGTGTATACATTGCTTTAGTAATGCATAAGGCGCTTGCTCTTTCTCATCTAAGACAAACAACGAACTTGTGTATCTATCGCATAATTTGGGATATTTATTGCAACGTTTCAAGGTATGTCATAAAGAATGTTTTGTCTAACCATCTTGACTTATTTGTCATTGCTTATGTCTTGAGTCTAAGTGCATATTTTTGCCCTAAAGAATTAAACACGGTGCAGGGAAGGTTAGCAGTGTGTAATGGTAGATAGGAGAGATCACTGGCACGGTGAAATAGAAAAGTAGAGACTAGTTGTCTGATAATAGTGACAGCTGTTTTTTCTCAACTTTGGTTCCACTGAAATAAAAATAGTCAGTAGCTATCTTTCCAGAACTGGCTTCACCCTAGTACTACACTAGTGTAAATTGTGCTTGGTAGCAGCCCTATGAAACCTAAGGGAATTTGTGACTACTCTGAATAAAGCAGGTTTAGTAAATTCAGTGTTAGAAATGAAGAGATTTTATGATAGTCTTAAAAAAACCAAAAACAAACCCAAACCAGAAAAATAAAAATGCTTATGTTTTTCGTAACAAAAGTTAGCATTATCAACATAGTGATTTTATGTTTATTTTGGAGGAAGGACCACCACTGTGATGGAAGCAAACTTAAAAAGTCATGCTAATACAAAATAAAACTACAGAACAAATCTAAGGATCAAATTCTCATTGACAGAATGTTTTCCCCTGTATCATTGTTCTTTACATCCCAGTGTTTTTCAAAACAGAGTTTTCAGGTAAACCTAACAGTTTTTCCAAGTGTGGATGCATTAAATTGTTTTAAAGTGTGCATTACTCTTTCAAGATATAAACTTGGAGTAAATGAGAGGAGTAAGATATACTGTAAATATATAGGCCTGCAAGAATTGATTGAATTGGAAGGCTAAATGAGAACTCGTTCATTAGATTTTGATTTTTGTTTCTGCAGTCCTAGAATTTGTTGCACTGAACAGAAAAACACCAGAGAAACCTTTCTGTAGCTGTTGCCAGACAAGCTGCTTGTTTGAGACAAGCAATGGAAATAACAACGTTTGTGTGTATGGAGCAGTGGAGATCAGTGAGGGTTTTCAAGTTGAACTGTCCTTACAGCAGGAATTGATGGGTTTAAAGGGGTAAAGAGCCTGGTGGAGGTTGTGCGGCCCAAGCACAGAAGCTGAGGTTCCTGGTGGCCATGTCTCAGAAATGCTGTTTTGATTTAAAACCAGAGGGGGCCTTGCATGACATTCAGCACATTTTCCTGTTGGTTGGATTTGGGTTCCATCCTACTGGCTGTGCTGACACCTGCAACTGAAATGAGAGTTTAAGAACATCTGTGCTGGCCAGGGTCAAAGATCAAGTCAGCATAGTGGTGTTTTGCAGTGGCCGCTGCATAGGGCAAAATACGTGCATAGTCCAAGCCTGTGGCAGTATCTCTGGCCATGTTCAGTCCACGGGCTTATTTAATTGTCTTTCTGTTCTGTAAGTTTGGTGTTCTTTTTCTTTCATGAATTGGCCTACTTGCTTTTAAAAATCATGTATACATTTGGTACCTGCTGTG